CTTTTCTCCGTTGATTAAAGATGCTGATATTAACAAATACAACTTTTTATTTAAGTGACAGGATATAAAATCTTTACAACAGATATGGCCAATTCGTCATTAAATGTTGGGGGGAACAATCCTAACCTCTGGAAACCTTCCCTGCCGTCCTCTCTGACCACACACACCCTCAGCGGGGGCCCCGACCACAGCCAAACTCGACAAACACAGTTCCACACAAAGGCGGGAGAGCCGAACTCCTCCACAGCCGTAAGGGGGACCAAGTTTGCGAGCTAGCGGGCGGACGGCTCCACAGCCGAAGGGGGGTCGGACGTGCAGGTTGGCTTTCCAGAGACAGGGAGATGTCCAAGGCTTGGTATCCAGGAGCCAAATCCTTTACAGCCCCTCGGTGGCCGCTTATATTGAGTTCAGCAGCATTCTGGGCTCCTCAGGTCCACCAATCACAAAGTTTGGGAAGGACCAATCAAGAGGGGTTTTGTTAGCACCAATCAAAGGCTCGGAGCCTAAAGCAAATACGAACGTTCCAAAAAACATGCGCATACACGAGACAGAACACATTCCTAACAAAGCTGACAAGAGCAGCCATAAACAACAGAAAGTACATTCGCTCGTAGACAGAGAAATTACACATGCACATCGCAAAACCACCTCCAAAGTAGAGATCCCAAAAGCAAACATACACAGGACAAAAATTTCCAACGCGGGGTTCTGTAAACTATAAGTGTAGCGTTACAGCGTTCCCGTTCTCCCCCATTTGGGGTCCCCCGACCCCGGCAGAGGCCATTAGCCGTGCCGTAAAGACGAGTGAACCCCCGAAGAACGCCAAAAACAAAGTAAAGCTGTAGACTAAGAACTCGCGCGAGCAAAACTTCGCGACAATACTCTCGTCTAGTTCTACAGTCACGCCTTCGCCGCCAATCATCTCTGAATGGCACAATCACAGCAACCTTTGGCGAGGTAGCTCCTGTGATCCTGTGATATTTGTGCTTTGTACTAATCAACCATTTTACGATATAACTTTTAGCGCACAAGTTCTCATTTTTTTAGTTTCGTGTGGGCATTGGAACGTTTGAAAATCTATGCGAAAGGTATGCGTTTCGTGTATGGCCTAGGGTTAGTTGTTTTAGCCTTGGGTCAGTGAACACCAATAGCAACGTTTAGCGAGGAAGCTCCCGCGACCTTTGTGCTAATCGACGATTTTACAAATTCGCAGTTGTCCAGTTTTCAGGATTTTGATAAAACCTGTTTTTATCAGTAGCTTGCATTCGATCTCAGTACTTTTCCTAAGTGAAAAGCTGGCTTTTCTTTATGTGACGTGCACGCGAACAATTATAAAGCATTCTAGCCAATTATTTAGAAAAAAGTTAATTACTAACGTTCATAAAACAGCTCTTTTTTGACCTTGCCCATCAGTATCGATAGCCCACAGGGACCTCTATGTGTATGATCAGACTTACCTTAGATGGTTGTCTAATCCACGATTCTATCATTTAGAATCTTTAAAAAAATGCAGCCCCTCTCTTTAAAAGTTAAGAGATAGCACTCTACATATCAACGATCATTAAATGCAATGAAACTGGGAAATAGAAGATTAACTGCAAATTTTTTCTCTTCCGCACCATTTGTTGCAGCCATAATTTTTTTTTTATCAGGAGTGCTTCGTATCAGTCGGTCAATCATTTATTTGTTCTAACTCTCTGGTCAATATGACTTGTATTTGTGTTTGTCTCTTGCCCGACCAAGCAACTGTGTTGCAAAATGTTGACAACGACTCCTTTCTGTCTCTTCAATAGACTTCTTTCAAAAGTGTGTGCTGCCTATACTTCGTTTCACCATAACTTGGCAACGAGCAACCGCCACAGCCCCCTCGAGCCAGTCAGAGAGACGGAGTGAAGGCATGTGACAAATCTCTGGAGAACCTCCTTCTCCAGAGATTTGTCACATGCCTTCACTCCGTCTCTCTGACTGGCTCGAGGGGGCTGTGGCGGTTGCTCGTTGCCAAGTTATGGTGAAACGAAGTATAGGCAGCACACACTTTTGAAAGAAGTCTATTGAAGAGACAGAAAGGAGTCGTTGTCAACATTTTGCAACACAGTTGCTTGGTCGGGCAAGAGACAAACACAAATACAAGTCATATTGACCAGAGAGTTAGAACAAATAAATGATTGACCGACTGATACGAAGCACTCCTGATAAAAAAAAAATCTCTCTAATGATGTTCTGTCACGTGCCACTCTCCAACGTGCATATTGTCTCAGTGGGACTGTAGCCTTCGACGTTTGCCAAACTGTGATAACACAAAGTACAGTAGTTATTACGCTAATTACCCAAGGATTTGATACTTCGGGCATTTTTTCGACAATAATGTTCTGTCAGCCATCACTGTGAACTCGACTCAGCGCCAATTGAACTCCAGTGCTGCATTTCCGTTCGACGTGATCTGGAGCCGATTCGTGTGCTTTACGCTTAAAAGAATTGGTGACAGTCGAGTGAAGGGCTAAGGTTAAAGTACCCAGCACCTCCACCAGAACATACGATGGCGCTGAACTTTCCAGAATAGTGAAGATTGATAAAAGAAAGGACTGGACCATGCATCCGGGGCAATACTACAAAACTGTCAAAAGAGAGTTTATCCTGACCAGTAAAGAAGCTGAATTGCTTTAATAGAATTCTGTCTGAATAATTCCTCCCTCTGGGTGTTTTGACGACTGCCGCAGAAGAACGGAACTGAAATTGATATGGGACCATTTTTTTTTGTAATGAGCCGCTGCAGACTGTCGCCGCAAAGGAGCGTGAACGTGTGGGAGGAGTAGGCAACACGCGCTCCGGTGTTATACGCGCCATAAAATGTCCATACTGCTTGCAATTTATGTAATGAGTGTTGATAAAACCATTGTGCCGACGAAACATGCGGCATACCGGGGGATTTAATACCAACTGGAACAACAGTGCTCCGTGAAAGTGCGCATCTACACCAGAACAATTTTGGAAGTAGCAGAGCATTATCTAGCACGGCACGGCAACTACCAGCTTCAAGGCAGCCCTTCGGTGCGCCGCACAACCAAAGTGAGCCTTCGGACATTTAAACGAAGCATCTAAAGCATGGCACATGGCCAATCACGACTAGCGCAATTTCCGTGGCTAAGCTGTTTATAAAATACATTGCACATACTTTACTGGAGACCTCAAAAATTCTGATGGTCAACGAGAGCACAAAAACGTTATGTCCGGTACTAACGATATCCGAATCAATCCGAGGTCCGAGCAACGCAGGGCCGATTGTCTCCCTCGTGCCAATATACAAATCGATAGCCAGCGAAATGCGCATCGTTGCTCTATATTCCACGTTATACCTACATGAGAGACCACGCTGAACTCTGAGCTCGCTTTCGACCGGCTTCATATGACGGCTCCCGCATCTGAAATTAACTCGCTTTGACCAACGACAACAAACCGCGTGTCCGAGAAGCTCCAGCCAATGCTCCGGCGCAGCTGGGGCCGGCCACTCCCTGGGCGCTGCCGTATTCTCTGTGACGTCACATATTTGGTTTGGTCACGTGAGGTGTGGTCACATTTGCGTACAAAGGCAGCTGCCTGAGGTGTCGCTAACGTGTGGGGAAAGGAACCCCCGGCACACTAAGCCCCTCTATCTTGCTCTTTAATTAACACGCCTAAAGAGTAAAGAATAATAATTAAGAAAAAGCTCGATCGGGTGTAGCCTTGTGACTTCCGGCCATGAGCTTACGTGCTGGTGTTCCGCTTTCGCTTTCGAGCAGTTGAGTATTTTTGTTTTATTAAAATACGCTTGGACTCTGCAGCAAATCACCGATTCGGTAGTCTCCTGACTTCATAATAAATCGCCCGGCAAAATGTCTTTTTTTTTTTTTGATTGGAAAAGGGGGGGGGGGGGGGTGAAGGGGACGTTAAGGAGTGTAAGTGTTCCGTTAAGAAAGCTTTTGAAGAATGGAGTGAATGGAAGAATGGAGAACTTTAAGGGTAATTCAGTAGAGTGAAGTAAATACATTTTTTTTCGCTGCACTTAAATATAGGCTTACCGGCCGCCTCAGTGTGTAGCAGTTTACGTTTCGCCGAGAGGCTTAGATTTTTTTTTTTTTTTTTTGCACAGCCGTTGTTTTTTGTACAATGGCTTATTTCCTCCGACGTGTAGTGTTCGTTGACTCAAGCTACACGCTCCCTGCACAGCGTAATATAGCTTTCCGTCTCACCGAGGTGAAGTACGTGTTTATTACTTGCTCAAAATGTTCCATTCAGTGATTTATTTTTCATGCAATTCCCCAGAATGTTTCGACCTGCTTAGCATATATGATAATGAACCTTAATTTACCTACGCATTGGTATTAGCGTCATGTAGGTATTCGGTTTACTGTGACTTTCTGGAGTTGCACGCTTTGGGTGTTACATTTTAGAGCGCAGCTTTTAAGCGGCTGTTTCCGTGTGTCGGGGTGTCAGCGTCGGCGTAACCGCGCTAAATTTAGCGGGAAAAGTGACGTCAGTGGCCTCAGTACCAATTCTATTTTCCGCTAAATTTAGCGGGGCCTCCATATCAATTCAATTTCTGCTAAATTTGTCCGGGAAATGAATTGGTGTTGAGGTCGCGTGACGTCAATTTTCCCGCTAAATCTAGCGGAGAAACTGAATTTGTTCGTAGGTGACGTGACACCAAGTCATGTGACGTCGTTTTCCATGCTAAATTCAGTGCGGCAACTGAAGTGGTGTTGAGGTCTCGTGGCGTCAATTGTTCAGCTAAATTTAGCGGGGAAACTGTAAGAGGAGGAGGGGAGGGTACGGAAGAGAAAAAGAGGATGAGGAGGAGGTGAAGAAGGAGCATACCCTTCCCTCCATACCCCCCCCCTCCTCCTCAAGAGCTGCGCTCTAATTTCGCGTTACAGAGATTTGTAAACGCCTTTCATCTTTCATTACAAGGATAAAAAGATGTAGGTGAGGTCCCAATCACTTATCATAATTATGGTTTCCACTATATAAATAGGCTTATTCAAGTAGAGTGCTCTGGGTATTGATAAGCGTATGTTGGGTGTTGGTCAGAGTTTTCTTTGGTTTTCCCTCAACGCACTCGAAATAAAAAAAAAATACAACCGTTAATGCAGATGTTCCCGGAAGGATAGATACAGTGTAAATAAGAGAGTACACAATCAAAGCATGGCTCGATGCCTTTATTGCACTACATGAATGGTTGGTATTTTGTGGATTGTGTAGCAGAAATTAGTACATTTTTCGAAAAACGTTCGCCCTAAATTCCCCTTGCATATTTCCTTGCTTCCAGTAGTTACAAACGACGAACAGGCCTTTTATTTCGAGATCGTGAGCCCATCCGCACCCTACGTATTGAGTTTCGTTCCAAACAATTTGCGTAAAATGAGCCGTACGGTAATCATAGTGGGGTTTACTGTAGTCGTACATACTGATTTCATCGTACCAGTACGTGACCACGTCCTTCGCTGAAAATAAAAAGAAACAAGACCATATAACTTCCATAAATATTTGGCGTCCGCGCAACTGCAGATAGTTCCTGCATCGAAGAACCTCGATTCTTTAAAAAAAAAAATAATAATAAAGCAGGGCGTCGATTACAAATTTTAACCCGATCCTAGCTATCCTTCAATCGGTTAATTAATCGATTCATTGTTTTCTTTTCGTACCGGTAAAAATAGGTAAAAAATTCAAAATAAATGTTTGCCTCTGCCGAATACGTAATAAATGGCGCCGTACAATTTCAAATTTTGAATCAACCTTAATGGTTGAGTGAATTGGTGCATGGATTGAGAGCCAGTGAGAGGTCACCGACACTTAAATTAGCACTTCAGCCGCAGACGCAATAACATGTGTTGATGTTCCCCGGCACTAGCGAATTCCTTTGATTGTTCGAAATAGTAGCTGCTGGGCTAAACAAACACTCGGGTGGTGTTCAAGTGGCCGTGACAAGTACAACTTTCTCCACTTGCTGAAGTTAGAAATCTCACCCCTCGAGTTTACTTTAAATCTAATCTTCTCCTAAAGTTTGCTTTTTTACAGGGGCACTTGTCCATATCTGCGTGGTTTAAGCGCTGGATTTGTACATTTTATTTCTTGGTCAAACGTTAGCAGATTACCAGTTTAAGAAAATTAGTAGCGATTAAATGATTAACCAATTTTATTGGTGAACTCTATTAAACCATCAGTTGATATGTCGGTAGGTTAGTCGATCAACTGCCAAGCCCTTAAAAATTCAAATAGAAAAGGGTGTTGGGTGTATTTCAAACTTTTAGATACATTCGTATTCAGTAACTGAGTTATTCTCTCATTTTCTCAGAGATTCTTTGAAACGCAAGATGAGCCAGTAGGAAACTAGGGCCTCGGACCGTTGAGTTGACAATTGCTGCAATGTCATCGGTAGCGTGGCGTTTCGGTCTGGTCCGTCTGGCGACAACTAGAATAGGTTCTGTCTCTTGAACGCTCTGAGAAACGCACGCATCCAAATAACCCATTTCAAAAGTGCACGCCACCGTGCAGCTGCAGTGTCAGTTATCCGATTGTGCCATTGTTTGTTCTCAGACTCTAATCATTTATGGGCACGAGGATTCCGTCAGCGTTCGGCGAGGACTGGGGTCCAGTTGCACTCTTCGTGACGAAAGCAATGGCGACCGCCAGGTTTGTTTGATAGGGTTTGGCAAAGCATCTTTTTTAAACATTAAACATCTAAACATAAACATTCGCGACGAGAGCAGGGAAACACCACCGACATCACAGCTTGTGCGCTCGGATTTTTACCCCATCATGCCAAAACTTGTGTGACATTACGCTTCAGATTCCTTTTGGAACCACATCTGATGCCATTTGATGTCATAGCGTGAATGGGATTGCAAGCCCTTATTAAATCGATCATACCGGGCGTTTCATCGAAGACCTTCAAAAATGCCTCAAATATGGTGGTTGAGAAAACATGAAACACTTTTTCGGAAAGAAAGCTGCCAGCCACGAAAGACACCGGCGATTGCAAAAGAATTGATAAAAACCACTAGGGGGATTATCTGTGAATGGAATAGTATTTATCGTGCCCACACGGGCAGGTGTTCGGTCTTGACGAGCAAGAACTGGAGCACACATAGTTTATTTCTCAGCGGTTCCACGCTAAATTTAGCAGGGAACTTAAATTAGTGTATAGGTCACGACGTTTTTTTGTTTTTTTTTGCTGAATTTAGTGGGGACCCTGAATTGGTGCGTAGGTTATGACGTCAGTTTTTCTGCTTAATTTAGATGGGAAACTGTTTCCGAGGCCAGGAAACAGGATACCCTCATAGCTGAAGATTTTGATTTGTAGCTTAATAATTTTATGGCATTTGAAACACAGGATCATCAAAATAATTACTTAAAACATAGAAACTACCTGTTTTTATTACTTTCTTACTATACCCATTTTTTTCTGCTCATTACTTTCTTGTTATAATGATATACTTGTTTTCACCAACTAAAAGATGGTAAAAACAAACATATGGTTATAGTAAGAAACTTAATGACCGTTGTAGAAAACCCCTTAATCAATCCATTTTAGGACGATTTTAGCACATCCCCACACGGGGAGTGCGGAGGTGTGCTAAAGTTGCCCCTCGCCAACAAGCTCAAGGCTGGCGATGCGAGCACCACGAATAGGATTATTTTCCTCCTTTTCAGGCGACGCGTTCCAGGCAGCATAGAGAACGGTCGACTTCTCCGGGCTCCGAAAACCTCGGAGGAGAACGTGCTTCTCGTATAAACACCGCCCTGCTCCGTCGGCTCGCCGCTGCACGTCCGCCGAGAGATCGGCTCGCTCGAGTCTTGTAACACCCGGAGAGGCCGCTTCGGCGGTCTTCCAACAAGCCCCAAATATGGAGGTGTCTGTAGAAGGCACGGAAATCACCCCCGAGGAATTAGAGGCTGGCGGATGGTTCCCCAAACAAACCCGCCGCCAACAAGCCAAGTAGAAGCGTCTCGAAGCCTCCGCCACGAGGCCCTCGGGAACGCGGCCTCACAATGGCACAGCGAAGGCCACGTCGCAGCGCATGAAGAGACCTCCACCCCCGCCCCTGCCAAAGGGTGACCATATAATCGTCGTCCGCCCGCGCGGAGGTTTCAACACCACAAGCTGGTCCGATTCCAGATTCTGGACGGAGCCCGCAGCAGCATCCGCGCTGACCTACCACCAGCCCGTGAGTTGCTCCGAAAATACCCGGAGCAAAACATGTTCGTCATCTGCACGCCGAATTCCGAACGAGCCGAGGCCTACAGCAAAATGCAGGCCATAAACATCGCGGGTAAGACATACCCGGCCACCGCCTACACCACCACGCCTGAAAATACCTGCAAGGGAATCATTCATGACATCCCGGAAGAAGACACCCCGGAAAACATTTGGGAAAGCCTTCAATACAACACCAACCCCCCCATTCTGCAATTCCGGCGACTCGGGAAAAGCGAACCCCTGCTTCTCCTCTACGAGGGCCAGCGCGTTCCGCACTGGGTGGACTACCGAGGAGCGACTCTCCGCTGCCTCCCCTACAAGAAGAGGGTGGAGGTATGTAAAATTTCCGCCCGCGTTGGGCACAGAAAGGACATTAGCCCCACGCCCAACGACAAAAAATGCTTCACCAGCGGCACCAACGTCTTCGACAACGCCAACCACGAGTGCACACCCCATTGCGCCATCTGTGGCGGAGGGTACGAATCGGGGTCTAAGAGGTGCCGCCAAAGATTCCTCCCGGCCCGAAAACCGCGGGCCCCCCTCCTCTCGACCCTGGATCTCACGGACGAAGCTACCTTCCCCGCCATGAACCCTTCGACGAGCGGCAACCGCCCCACCGGACTCGGGGATCGATCAGCAGGCGCCCGCGGGGAGCTCCACAGCTCCCGCTCCCACTCCAGATCCCGATCACGTTCTCGTTCCCGAGGAAGAGGCCGGAGCTCCAGCAGGGGTCCTGGTGTAACCAGGAAATTATCAACCTCAGCTACCTCCAAGGTGAGCTGGGCATCAGTTGCTAAGTCCACTGCCCCTACACAATCCAAACAATATCAGTTGCTTTAAGCTGACAACGAGCAATTAAGAAGGGAACTAGCATGTTTCAGTACTAAAATAGCCCAGCTGGAGAATCCCAAACAGGCGCGACCCTCACCACAACCCCCAATAACTCCTCCCACAAACACTCAACCGTGTTCTCAGCCGCAGTCCAAACCCCCCATCCCCCCTAAACTTGCCGCCGTCACCGCAGTAGAACCCATGGAAGTTCAGCGCACCGCTACAAAGTGCAAGGCAGACGAACCCCTCAGCCAACCACCCCCGTAGAGTACGTAACCAAACAAGACCTCGAAAACCTCGAGACCAGGATGACGACTCTGGTCACCAACAAAATTGAACAAATGAGCCACAGCATCATGGAGGTCGTCCACTCCCTACAACTGGAAGTGGCCGCCGTCACGCAAACGCACCAACAAATGCTCCTCCAGCTTCAGCAGCTCAATAACCGCGTGTCCATGGTCGAGTCCCCCCCCCCCCCCCCCCCTCCCCCCCCTCATAACGCAACACCTTCAACTTCCTACGCCCCTGCCGCAATCACCACAATCCACATCTCCCTCCAGGACCCCCCGTTCCACCTCGAGGGATCCGAACCCCAACCTTACCCCCAGTCCCCTAGCGCCGCCCAAACTACAGATCCCCAGCAGCCGCAGAACCGGCCTCCCTCCTCCCCAGCCCAATCATGGATAGGGACGAGATATGGCAGCGGAACTGCAGAAGCTACCGGAAGAAACGCGGAAACCTCTAACAGTTCTTTCTAACCCGATCAGTGCCCCCGATAGTCATCTGCCTTCAAGAGGCCAGGACTCTCCCCAAGCTGGCCGGTTACAAAACATACCATTCCCCCTCCGACACACAACTCCTCGCACTCATACTCGTCCACCACAATAGCACAGCCATACTGCACGATTCGGTAGATGACAATATACCACATACACTAATCGAGCTCATCCCTTGCAACGCAAAAAAATAACAGTACATTCATTCTAGACGTGTACAGTCCACCAACGGACTGGAGAGCACATCACAGGCTGTACGCCTGCTGCATCATTGGCAACTTTATCGTGCCCCCGCACTTCTCACCTCACGTGCTTCTAGTCGTCCTCCAATTGACTGATTCAAGGGTTTTAATGACACTCAGCAAGTTTATAATCGGAACCATGTTTATTTTCACTAACTCGTAATTAGTTAATATAACTAACATGTTTCGCTAAGTATATTCAGTTCCATGTTAAACAATGCATGACAAACTCCTCTCGCAAAGCTTGTCCCTAATTCCACTTGAGCAGAACGAATGCTGGAAAGGACGCGAGTGGACTCTACTCCTCCTTTTGCCTCCTCTTCAGCGTTCGCTCTGCTAAAGTGGACAAAGTGAACGGCTCATGCGGCAGGAGCTTGTCCTGGTTTTCTAAACCT